AGGTGGTAGCCAGTTTTAACTTAGCCTTGTATAGTAAAAGTCAGTGTAAAAAGCTTTGAATTCTTGCTAACTGTGAGCAAGATGCAAATGTTCAATAAAACAGCTATGTACTCTCAGTAAGAAGGAATTAGTTGTTTCTTTAATGGGCATTTTCAGTAAATGAGAACTGAAAACAAGAGCATCACTACATAGGCCTATTACTTAATGCCTGTCAGTCCCTTGGGACAGAAGAGATCATCTATCTTATTTGGAGAAGCAATAGATGAAAAATAAGATAACCCTGATGAATAATTTAGACCAGGGGTGTCAAACTCAATTTCATTGAGGGCCACATCAGGGTTGTGTTCGACCATAGGGGGCCAGGGTGGTGTGGCAGCTGCACATCATTCGTGTTGGGGGCGCAGGTGGTGGCCCGAATGCTCTGCCAGTGAAAACGAGCTCCATTTTCACTGGCAGAACCACCGCGGGCCAGTCCTTCACTGTTTCCAGTTTCCTACTGGTGAGAGTAGGATCTGACCCCCCGGACCTTGAGTTTGACACTCTCGATTTAGTTCTACCACACTGGCTGGAAATTGTGATTATTCTAGCCTCAGTATTGGTGGTGGCACTCAGCAATAGAGGAGCTGTTAGGTTAATGACTGAGAGACTGAAAGCAAGCTGAGAAGTCACACAACTACAGGAAGATTTTGGATACTTCCTATGCAATGAAAAAGATGCTCCCTTAGAATATTTATAGAGAAGCAAGTTCATGAGGAATAAACGAGCTGTTGGCTGATATGAATGTGAGAGAGGAACAGTCATGTTGCGAATAAGAAGTTTCAATTCCGAATAGAGTTGGAAAGGACCTTGGAGGCCTTATGCCATTTCAGACAAGTGGCTGTCCAGTCTTTTCTTAAAAACCTCCAGTGATGAAGCACCTACAACTTCTGAAGGGAAGCTGTTCCACTGGTTAATTGTTCTCAGTATTAGGAAGTTTCTCCTTAATTCCAGGTTGCTTCTCTCCTTGATTAATTTCCACCCATTGTTTCTTGTCTTGCCCTCTGGGGCTTTGGAAAATAAGTTGACCCCCTCAAATACTGGAATACTGCTATCATGTCACCCCTAATCCTTCTTTTCTCTAGATTAGCCATACTCAAACCCTATAGCCATTCTTCAGTCTCCAGGCCCTGAATCATCTTAGTTGCCACTGTTGCACTTTTCCCAAAGTTTCAACATCGTTTTTGTAACGTGTTGACCAAAACTGGATGCAGTATTCCAGGTGTGGTCTTATTAAGGTTTTATAAAGTATACTAACACTTCACATGATTTTGATTCTATGTCTCTGTTTACACAGCCAAAGATTGTATTAGCTTCAGGATTGTATTACTATTACTTAAGAAGAGTAGTAGCATCTCTCCTCTGTTCCATAGTCCTGGCTCACAATACAATGGGCAGATGCATTGACCCACAAACTATGCCCTGAGTCAAGGAGGTCCTTCCTGAGTACATGACATGCATCAAAACTTGCCAAAATGTTACTTTAATGCAGGAGTATAAAAGCCAAAATCCCTGGACTTCATGTGCCTTCCTCATAAGCAGTGAGTCTGTGCTGTTGATGTTAGCTAGATTCTTCCCCATTCCCATCTTCTGACTCCATTTCATAATATGATACAGTGAAATGAGAAATATAATCAACACTTAATTCTTCAGATCTTGGTTCAGATTATTTCATTAATTCTCAATTTTAAAGCAACCAAGGTAGCCTTTTGAGGTTCTCACATATTTCCCTCAATCCCATAGATTAAGGCTTGAGTGGATACATAGGGTGTTTCTGTTTTTGTGCAAACTGTCTCACTTCACATAGAGAGAACAGGCTTAAACAGGGTTTAAGATGTCTACATCACCTCATGGAAGTTCTAGCATTGTCAGTCTGATAGGCATTGAAGTTATCATGCTCTGATTCATTTATTAAAATATGATTTTCTTAATCCGGTGTCATCTAGAGATATTAACATATTTGGAGAGAACCAGTTAAGGTTATGCTGAAGCTACTGGAAATCACATATCTGCTCTCCCCATAGCCTTCTGAATTGACCCATTTATTGCACATTTAAATTGAAAGCCCAAGAAATGACCGGAGACATTTATTACATTAAAGTAAAATGATATAGGTGGAGGCTTCCATCTGGAGAAAGATTCACTGAGAATTCCATGTAAACATGTCTGATAAATATAAATAAAATATCCACCACTTTTATAAGAATCTTCTGATTCAGTATGCAACCAGTGAATTTCATACTGGGGATTATCAGGCAATTCACTGAAAATAAAATAGCCAATATTGTAATATTTTTGTGATGTCTTGCCAATATATCATAATCTAGATTAATTGATCCAGCATATCTCGTTGAAGACAAAACTCCTTGACTCCTTCTCATAAAAAGTGCTAAAGCGGTAGAAAGGAGGGAGATAATGGCTATAGTTTGTGAGCAGCTGCAAAAGAGGTCTAGAGAGAAAAAAACACACATAAAAGTCAAGTTTGTTTTCCCCCTTCAATGATCAGTTCAACTTTCTTGAAAACAGCTCTTTCATCTTGAGCATTTTAGAGCCCCTTTAAAAATCTGTGTTTTAGCATGATTTCAAACACCCAGTGTTTGAAAACATCTTTGGGAGTTGATGGTCACTTATGTTCTTGTTGACAAGAACTATGAGTTCTTGTCTAGCTTTAATAAAGATAATAATTGGTATCCCAGCAACTGAGTGTTCATTTAGCTAAGACACTTTAGCTCATTTGCCTCCTCATTCTCTACATGGTTAATAGGACCAACCTTACCTGGTTCTCTCAAACAACAATGGTACACAACGAAGAGCAAAAATTACCTTATCACCAAGTTAAATTTGTTCTCTACTCTCACCAGAGCACTTACCTGAAATTAGCTGTGGTTGGCGTTTTGCAAAGGTGAACCCAGTTTAGATTATAAATGCACTTCTTGTTTGTCTTTTCACTGCTGAAAATCTGTCAGTGAGGAGAAGGGATAATAGCAGGCTATTAAGTTCTTTCTTCATAATGTAATGCAGGAGTCAGGAGGCTGTTTGGTCATTTATGTCTTTGAAAAGCTCAGAATAATTTTCAGTTATTATCTTCCATTTTTTAGAGCTTGTTTCAAATATCAATATACTGACTCCCCACCCCCGAGCTTTTCCATCACTTCACACTCTGCTTTGTGATTTCCTGGCATTTATTATTTTTGTGTGGTCTGAATTTCAGGGATTTAATTTTGGGGGGCAAAAAAATTCTGCCCCACATTTGTCTTAGTCACTTTATGTATTGGTTGTAGCAAGGTACTGATATTCAACTAGCCTCTGTAAATTTTAACTTCTTGTATATCTTGAAAAGCATTTAAACACAGATTTCTGGGGTAACGAATGCTGATTCAGGCATCTTTAATGTTAACTAGCTCCTTGCCAATCCCCATCAAACAGAGTAGCCAGACCTATATTTTTCCCTAGTGCCATCTGATAGCTATTAAAATACTTGCTTGAGTAAGTAAATATTCCTATTAGATTATATATCAGAAGAAGAAAGGCTATGGAGGCCAGGTAAACTAAGATTTCATTAGGTTATTGGAATATCCCTGAAAAACATGTTACAAACACTTAGATTATAGATATAGTGAATTTATTTACCATTGCTAGCTCCTAGGAACATATCTACCCATGTTATGTTACTGAATAATTTATCATTTTTCCTATGTCCTGAACTGGCACAGCCAAAACCATAATAGCGAAAGCTACTGAAGAATTAGAAAGGGGAGGAGAGAGAGAGAGAGAGAGAGAGAGAGAGAGAGAGAGAGAGANCAGATGAACAGCTGGAGCCTGTTCCCAGTGTGCACATGCACAGAGTTGCCAGAGGAAGGGAATAGCTAAAGAACAGTGATCGACTTGGGAGTAAGGCAACAGGTGGACGATGAATGGCCACTCCCAGAGGGAATAAAAGAGGAGCGATAGGGGAGTGGAGTTTGCAGGAGACAATTAGTTCGCTTAATTGGTTCGTGACTTTCCGAGACTCCTTGCCAAGTTTTGCAGAGATCGGCCTGGCAGTTCTCCAAGCCAGATAAGGTCTGTGACTGTAAAATCCTCCCTTGAAAGACTTTGCTGGATGTGAATGAGCAGAATTCGCAGTCAATTAATAAAAGAGTTTTTTGTCAGCACAAGGAGTTTGTGCTCTTGGGAAGCCTCAGTCAGAACAGTACCTGGGGGAGATGGGATTATCCACCTGTGAACTTTCGGTAGAAAGGGTTTCTCTCTCAGTCCAATATCAGAACAAACATGGTGACATTTTCTCCAACTCATATTAAAGGGCATACGATTGTGTGAGAGGCGGCTTTCTTCATCAGATACACGGTACTAAATTGATGCAGGATGAAGGAAGCTGCAACCGACAGAAGCTTTTTGCCTTTTTAATAATGTGTGAGTTGGAGGGGAAAAAAATGCTAACAGTCACCTCCCAAATTTGGGCTACCATAGAACGGACTCAGCTTTCCTTCTACAATCCTTCTCCCCGGCTAGAAGAATCTGCAGCTGCAATTAAATCAGTAATTCCAACGAAACACCCCCTTCCTCAGCTTTTCACTTCTACCAGAAATGCAAACGTACAGCTTTAATTATAGAAGCCGGAAATGAAAGAAAACGATCAAAGAGATTTTGGAGCTTTGGAGAAGGCGGTCGCTGATGAAGTCTGGCCAAGTATAGGGCATGATGTCTTCAGATTATTGTGATGGAGGGGTGGGTGAACAACAGCTCTGAAACAGTGTTTCTGACCCACTAACTTAATCAGAGTCTGCTAATCTTTCAAAGGCAGTTGGCCTGCAGAGACATCCATGGTTGGAGGCAACTACCTTATTTTTCAGACTATAAGACACACTGGAGTATAAGACGCACCATGATTTTGAAGAAGTAAAATATGGTAAGTCAAGATAGCACCAACAAGTGCCTGGGGAATTCTGGGACTTGAAGTCTGCATATCTTAAAGTTGCCAGGTTTGGGAAATACGGTTCTAACTTTTCAAGAGTACCCAGGATTCATAGATCACAGTTATTAGAAGTGATCTAAATAGGATGCTACAAACATTCCATGCTTCACACTGATGATGTTACCTAGTTGTGTAACGAAACATCTGCAAGAAAACAACCAAGCCCAGAGAGCACCAAGGGGACCCTTCATTTCAACCCTGATTTGCAAACATAAACATTCTTCTTTATCAGTATGCTTCCCCCCACCCATCAATTGTCCTCTTTCTTTCCACAACATCACCTGACCTGTTCGTGTCATTTTGCTCCTCGTAAAACAAAGAGACCTTTGCAGTTACCTTCATCGTGATTCTGGTGCAGCATGGCATCTGGCGGAGGCGCGTGAACAGAATTCCCAGGGTGGAAGAAGGGAGAAAACAACATATGAGAATTTCTTTGCTTCAAGATGTGCTGAAGGAGCTCATATAAAACATCACCTGGAAGAAGAGGAGGAAGAAGAAAAACGCCAACTCAGGAAAATGAATTTTTAAAGAGTTTGATACTGCAAGGATACTGCAATATCCCCATACACTCCCCACTCCAGGGGAAGGATACTGTAAAATCTCCATTCCCTCCACACTCCAGGGGAAGGATACTGNGGGGGAACAGTTTGCACTCTTTTGGAAAGCCAAGACAGGGACTTTATAAAAAGGTAAAGGTTCCCCCTCGCACATATGTGCTGGTCGTTCCCGACTCTAGGGGGCGGTGCTCATCTCTGTTTCAAAGCCAAAGAGCCAGCGCTGTCCAAAGACGCCTCCGTGGTCAAGTGGCCGCTATGACTAAATGCCGAAGGTGCACTGAAGGCTGTTACCTTCCCACCAAAGGTGATTCCTATTTTTCTACTCACATTTTAACCTGCTTTCGAACTGCTAGGTTGGCAGAAGCTGGGACAAGTAACGGGAGCTCACTCCGCTACGTGGCGTTAGGGATTCGAACTGCCGATCTTCCTGATCGACAAGCTCAGTGTCTTAGTCACTGGAAGGGCTTTTATACCCCCATGGAAATCTTCAAATTTAGTGGAACTGTAATTAGTTCCAGCCCATTTGTGTGACTCCCTAACCCTACCTACCCCTTTTCAGCAGGGAGCATTTCTGCTTTTCCATAGCACAGGGACTGTTTGAAAGATTTACAAAGTCCCAAGTAACGTTTTAGATCCCCCCCCCCACTTTGCAGTCCCAAGAGGTCCTTTGCTGAAGACCCCCCCCCCCCAGGGGTCACATCCGGCTGGGATTCTTCCAGTGCCTCGCAGTGACCTCCGCCTGACTCCAGCCCCCTCAGACGCTCCTCATGTCCAAAGACAGCACCCACCCGTTTCCTGGCTGGAGCTGGAAAGGAAACGGGCCTGGTGTGGATTTTATGATTCACACAGCCAAAGTCATAAACAAGAAAGGTCTCTCTTTGTTTCGCTATTTAGGTCAATCTTGCCCGAATGGGCACGAGAAAAGTGAGAACCCGGGTGCCAAGCCAGGCCCCTGTCTGCGGTGACTGAATAATGTTTGCAAAGGGGAGAGAGAGAACAAACGACAAATTTTAGGCCCTTGTGTGGCCTCGGGGTGAGGCTCTTTCTGGGGAGCAAATCAAGGATGCAGAAGGAAAAACAGGCTTCTGGATTCTGACGCTGCATGAGCATCTAAATCAGATGGAAACCCTGGTAACAATCAGACCTGTGGACTTTAACTCCCAGAAACCCCCAGCATACTGGTGTTGTGGCCTGCCAGCAGAGCTGGCAGCAGATTCGGACAGTGAGGAGGTTGGGGAGGAACCTGGGCCAGTCCTGGAGTCTGGGGAAGGCTCTGATGAGAGCTCTGTGTCAGAGGCAGAGATGGGGCCAAGTCCATCTGACAGTTATCAGCTGCCTTCAGAGTCGGACAACGGTGAGGCAGAGGAACAGCTGGAGCCTGTTCCCGGTGTGCGCATGCGCAGAGTTGCCAGATGAAGGGAATGGCTAAAGAACAGGGGTCGACCTGGGAGTAAGGCAGAGGTGGTATTCAGCAGGTTCTGACCAGTTCTGGAGAACCGGTAGGGGAAAGTTTGAGTAGTTTGGAGAACCGGTAAATACCACCTCTGACTGGCCCCACCCCCATCTATTCTCCGCCTCCCGAGTCCCAGCTCATTGGGAGGAAATGGGGATTTTGCAGTATCCTTCCCCTGCCACGCCCACTAAGCCACACAAAAGGTTCTGATGAGGGCTCTGTGTCGGAGGCAGAGAGGGGGCCAGAGCCATATGCCAGTTATCAGCTGCCTTCGGAGTCGGATATTAGTGGAGCAGAAGAACAGCTGGAGCCTGTTCCCAGTGTGCACATGCACAGAGTTGCCAGCGGAAGGAAATAGCTAAAGAACAGTGATCGACTTGGGAGTAAGGCAACAGGTGG